TCTCATCTTTGGACTGTATTCGCACTTTCCATCAGGCGCGGGGCAGTTATTTTGCCCAGAAAAAAAAAAAAAAAAAAAAAAAAAACCCTATCACTCATGGCCTTTTCAAATATTTTTGAAGCTGTGGGTAGCAGAGCTATAGGACGATAATTGCTCGGATCTGTTTTTTGATTTTTTTTTGTGTAAAGGTTTGATTATAGCTTTTTTTAGCAGGTCGGGGTATATTCCTTCGTTAAAAGACTGACTCACAAGTTGGTTCAATGGCAAAACCAGTTCTGAAGCGCATTGCTTAAATAACATTGGTGGAACCTCGTCAATTCCGCAACTCATTTTACTTTTAAGTTTTATTAAAATATTGTATATTTCTTTATTTTGTACAGGTTTTAAAAATATTGAATTTTCAAGGGGACAAATTACAGGGCGGCCGGTAGGTGCTCCGGTACAACCTTCGCTGATAGATGCAAAAAAGTTATTAAAAGCATTTGCAACCTGGTTTGGATCAGTTACAGTTTTGTTATTGATATTCAATGTTACATTTTGTTTTTCATTTTTATTTTTCTTATTGGTACGCTCATTTATAATACTCCACATTGTTTTTGTTTTGTTTGTTGATTTTTGAATTTTCTTTTTTTTTAATTTATTAAATTTTACAAATGATTTTATCGAATGAATTTTTATTAAGTTCAATTTATTATTAATTATTAATAGAAATTAGAATAAACTAAAACATATTAATTAGTACTGCAGTCTTATGTCTGTTTGGGATTTTTCATTAGAGGAAATACTGGATCCCAAACTGGTGGTACGGAGAAACCATCTTCCCTGTTGAAATTAGGATGTTTTTAATTTCAATGGCCTCTCGCAGCATCCTGGGTAGATAACGGACTTCTTTTGCAAGGACCTGGGGTTTGTCGAACTTCATTGAATGTGTAGGTTTATCCATGACATGCTCGCAGACTGCAGACTTGTTACGCAACGGTGTTTTATATCAGCTATATGTTCTTTGGCGCGGGTACAAATACTTCGCTTTGTTTGTCCAATATAAGAGAGACCGCACTCACAGTCAAGCTTGTAAACTCCTGTATCCTGTAAGGGGATGTTACATTTCACGGGTCTCAGGAACTGAGAAATCTTCCTCAGGGGCTTGAAATAGGTCTTGATAGATGCGCACCTGAGGACTCTTCCGATCTTGTCTGTAACACCTCTCACGTAAGGTAAGATGGCAGGTCTTCGCTCGACTGTTGGTGGTTTCACACGGGGCCTGTGGCATTGGCGTGGAATCTTCAACTTATTCGCATGTAGGACTTGCTTTATATGTTGAAGTTCCCCTGCCAGATGATTACTGTCGCAGACACCATGTGCTCTCTGAAACAAAGATTTGCCTACGGTAGCTAACTGGCTAGGATGGTGATGGGAATTACCATTGAGATACCTATCTGTATGGGTTTTCTTTCGAAATACAGTATGGCCTAAGGTGTTATTAGGATTTCTTTTAATTAAAACATCTAAGAAAGCTAAAATACCACAATTCTCTTGTTCCATAGTAAATTGGATCTTAGTACTAAAAGAATTAAGATGAAATGTTCATCGGATGAAAGCACGTATAAAAAGGTGAAGAAAGACCCTACCACCAAGATATTAAAAACAACTAACTTATTTTTTTTTTTAATTTATTAAGGCTTTGGCAAAGCCATCAGCTTAAACAGGAAGTTTAATTATGTCTCTGTAAATATGGCCGCCACAAAGAGGATAGGCAATTTGAGGCGGCGTGCTTGGATTGACTCGGGATTCCTTAAAACGGGCCGATACGGGTATTTTAGTTCGAGATTCGTATAATTTCGCGTTTTAATCTTCGATTAAGGCACAATAGCACTACCCTATTCCACTTTAAACTAGATTTCACAAAATAATTGAAAGTCAAAATAAAAACGACACTTTTCCCTCCAAAAGGTCCAGAGCGAATCACAACTAACTTAATATCTAAGCACTCCGATATAAGCGATCCGATGCTAACATTTAATAAAAAATCATTTTAAAAATAAGATTAAAATCAACACAACACTATGGTTTCTTGTTCCAAATATTTCAATCGCTTATAGTTCAAATAATTAAAAGTGACCAAGAAGTTTATTTAGACTTCTTGAAATTGACGTAATGGGTCTCTTTCCATCCTTTGCGCATGCAATGTGTAGAAAACGGACAGTTAGCTTTTTGATTATTTTGTTTGCTTTTGTAATTTATATTTACGATTAATTTATGTATAAATTAAATACTTTAAAATTGTACCAAATAACACTTTTAAATGAAAAGTATGATAACACAATATATTTGTTTAGTGAAAATATGATACAAAATCGTGTTTTTACGCTTTACTGCAGTAATTTTTACAAGTTATTATTATATAGTACTGCATGATTGACAACCGCGCTGTCACTCGAATAAACGAAGGCTGTTGTGCGATTGACGCTCTGTGTGCGATTTTAACGCCCTATAGGTGCGGACACTTGTTAGCGCGTACCCGACGTCCATTTGTTGGTAGGCCAATGGTGTCAGTAGTCAGCCTGACGACACAAGTAGTGACCAAAAACCGATAGTAAACTTATTTCAATTGGTGTGGTTTCAGTTATTATCTACAATATTTAATTTAATTACCTAATAAATTATATTATGAAATGCTGTTTATGGAAAAGTAGATACGAGAGATATATTTAATAATAATTAACAATAACTTGGAACTATGATGAAATTTCACAAAGGCATTGTGGGAAAAAAGTGGTATTGTCAATTATACTACTCCTCATGATACACAGACCGTCCCTATGTGAAAACTAAAGTACTTTTTACAATATAGTTTGTTTGAATAAAATAAAAAAATATTATTTTCAGTTTGATGCTGTAGCATACATCAACAAGGTGTTCCCAACGGAGCAGTCGCTGTCTGGCGTCGAGAGCGCGGCGGCGCGGTGCGAGTTCCGCCTGGCCGGGGTGGACACGGACATCCGCAGACTCGTGAGGGCGCATGCGCAGCAACGACACGCCGGGCAGGACGCCTTACGAGACGCACAGAGGTGTATCGCTGAGTTGGCATTGCAGGTTGGCAGAGAGGAAGAGTTATTCCACAAACCAGTTATATAATAGTAATTGTTTCTCGCTCCACAAAAGTAGTAAGACTAAGCACCTAGTCATACGAAACAGAGTAGATATTTTGTGGAAAGCTGGATCCTAACCTTTATCAGAGATTTGTATGTTAGATCTTCGAGGTCTCCTGGCCACCTAAATCAGATTATAATTACACCATTATGTTCTTATGTAGGTACTAAGACCTTATACAGAGTAGATACGGGCGTGTGTGCGTGTTTGTGTGTATGTGTATGTTTGTGTGTGTGTGTGTATGTGCGTGCGTGCGTGCGTGCGTGCGTGCGTGCGTGCGCGCGCTTGTGTTTGTGTATTTTCACAATATTGTCATAGTTTACTTTTTAAGTATAAATGAATTTCCTTTTTTAACTCATATTGTGACAAATTTATTATACAATGTGTTGATTTGCTTTCTCGCCATATTACAGAGGCCTTACCATGAACTTTACTAAAACTATTCATTAACAAAGCAGTTCAAGTTGGGATCCTAAATTGAATCGTTAAAATTCGTACCATCAGCTAGTTAAAACTGATTCGTTTTTGAAACGCTAACTCGCGAATGAATGACCGATATTTGTCCCTGGTATGCTACCATTTCGTATTGTGAAATTTTTAAATGTAATGTTGTTTCCTTAGATACGTGTATATTTAGCCAGACATGTTTTTTTTAGGATAGTTTTATCGGTACTTCTACAAAACATTAAAAAAAACTTATAAATGTCATTACTAAGTGAAACAATTGTAGAACACACGCTTCACGCCTTCTCCATCAACACAAAGAAGAATGGAATTTGTATGAAGAGTCTGTACGGTGAAACCTTTGCCTACCCAAATATATGAATGAAAACTTATTAAAAAAAAGTGAATCAAAAGTAAACAAAACTGTTACCTGTTTTTCAAACTAGAAAGAAGACATCTCTTATTAGCTTGTGCTAGAAGATCAATAAAGTTTAATAATGTCCTCTGTGGTGAAGCTTGGCTAAAACCAAAAGAACAACGTAAGTATCAATATACCACACTTTTACGTTATTGTTTACATTGAATGGATCTTGGATTTGTTATCATATCACATTTACGTATAAGTACATAACTTATTCATATTTTCAGTGTTCGGAGTACAATTGCACAATTAAGAGTTTTAGTGGATTATATGGCGGCAAACTCACAGGACCAGTTCGGCCTAACAATTGGAAAAAGTATAGGTTGCCCTCGCTTCTAAATTAGAAAACAATGGTCCTAAAAACTAAAATAATGGAAGCATGGTGAGTACCTGTTTCATGATTTGAATCCAAAAGTAGAGGGTCATAGCTACCTAGTTCTTGTAGTATACCTATATTATTTTGATTTTCAGGCTTACCGGGACTTCTAAAAGAGGGCAAAGTAGGATGATAGGAAAGTGAGCTTTGACTTTGCACACTTTATAGTTATCTATACTATAAGCAATTGTAGACAAACTGAAGACGTTTTTAATTACTCATGGATAGGGTGATAAACTTTATTAGGGTTTTCAATAGGTGTTTACTGAAATAATGAACATTTCTAATTAAAATACATATTTATTCAATGTTTCTTTTTACAATAGCAAATTCTTGCATTCCGAGTGGTTTCAAGTTGAGATCGAGAGATTGTTGAGAAGTATCTTCATCATATTTATTCTCCTCCTCTTCAAAAACACTGAAACACTAAAAGAGTTTGTGAAGATTCCATAAGAATATCATTTCCATGTAATTTTAAAAAGTAAACTATGTTTACTGACCTAAAATTTGCCCAGTAGTTAGATAAAATTATTTTGTTCTACGTTTTCTCGGCACAAAATAAAGGTCTCATCATCCTGTCTACTCGTTCATAACCAGAATTGCCTGAAATAATTATGCAAATAATTTATAAATATAAATTACTAATACTATAATTGAACTTTTATTAATATAGTTTTTTTTGTTCCAGATCAGTTGTAATAATTTGTCATGAATTTAAGTTAAGACATAAGTATATTTGGAACGCGACTAGCCCAGCGAAGTGATGTGATATGTGTTTTATCAACAAGTCTGTTCACCCATACCAGTTTAGGACCTGTGATCTATGTATTTAATGAAATTGACTGTAAAATAATATAGTGTATTTAAAATAATATAAGATATGTACGCTTGTGAGTCATGTAATGAAACAATTTTAAATAATTAGAAATAAATACAGATGCATATAAGAGACTGAGTACAAGTTATTTCTAATCTATGTTGTGATTAATTTAATGTGATTGATTCGTGATGATATGATAAATATAAAATGTATTAGTATTCCTAAATACCTCTGTGTTAGTATTCCTAAACTCAAGTATAATAAATATATGTTTTTGTATTCTTGTATTTTTTTTGTTTCATACATACCTAGAAGTAAAATGCCCCAGAATTAATATGCAGGCAGCTTAGTTCTTTCCTTACAAATATCCTATTCCCCCATACTTGTCAGACTAACCTCCTCCATTTCTCACCATCCATAGATGACCATCCACAGTGTAGCCCTCTGCTCTCTAACATTTCTTTATTGACTTGCACGTCATGATGATGGTGTATGCTATAACAATCTTCTTTTCTTTCCTTCCATTAAAACCTTTACAATTTTGTCGTGCAACAATGTACCAAGCAGCCACGATGTACCCTCGTTTAGATTTTTCAGATGAAATTTAATTGGATGTAAATTCCATGCGTGGCTCCACCATAGCTTGCATCTATATAGTGATATTCATATCAGCATCACATCTGAAATTAATTACTTATGAAATACCTAACAAATTTTGCCTTTAGGTTATTTTTATCAAGTCCATAATAACTTACTAACTGGACATATAAAGAGTGATACTGCTTGCAACTGTAATATCTTTTTCTTTCTCTGTAATATCTTTCTTCATTGTCAGTGGGCCCAGCAATTGCCCTGTGGATGCCATCAATGCAACCCAATATGCTAGGGATCTTTCATTTCTGATATAACCTAAAAAAATGTAGTTTATTTATTTATTTAAATTCACCAACGCTTAATACATTCGGTTACAACAATATTTTACACACATTCGATAGGGTGTTACAGTTAAAATGCTTAACCAATTACTGGTAAACATGCCATGATGAGAGTATGAAAGTTAAGACAATTATTATTAATTTACTGTTCTTTTTTGTTACTTAATATGGGTAATATTTTGGATAACACAACACGAGGTCATGAGTACACACATCAACACTGTCTAGGGATATTTTGATTTTACTCAATTATCTCAAAAATTATTAAAGATAACATACAACATGTGTAAATTTTTATAAAGCCCATTTATCCAACTATACTCCAGAATACTTAAATAAAATATATATAAATAAATATAATACATATATATAAATAAAATATACTTAAATAAAGAAAAAACGTAAAATAATGGTAAAACTAACAATGAATGTGTTTCTCAATAAAATGTGAAAAATAAAGAAAAGTGATTGTTTTTAACAGTTATATGAAAAGTCAGTAGTCTGTAAAACCACTCATGACATTTATAACGGTCCTGCAACGATTTTTCATACTATGGATTAAGTTATCCAAGTCTTGCTGCGGCATATTGTCCCAGGTCCAGCTGAGATGCAAAAAAAGTTGCCTGAAAAGACTTCCTGAGGATGTTGCAGACGGCTATCACGACCAGGGACTCGCCAAACAAGTTCTCTACGTGTATCGGGATGGAAACCGAACCGGGTCTCATCGGTAAACAGCACTACAGACCACTGGTTATCTTCCCAGAGCAAATGTACACGAGCCCACTCTAGTCGTCGTCCACGATTTCCTCGGCGTAGTGCTGGAGTACGAAGCGGTCTGCGAGCATGAAGGTTAGCTTCATGCAGCCTTCTCCTCACAGTTTGGTCACTCACAAGCAACTGGTGCTCTGACTGGAGCCTCTGAACCAACTGCATGGCCGTAACATTTGGTTCTCTTCTCGCGGCAACTTGCAAAAATCGGTCTTGTCGTTGAGTGGTTATGCGCTTCCCGCCTGGATGTCTTTCAGTCACTTCACCAGTAGCACGGTAGCGTGACCATAACCTAGAATATCTCGTTTTGTCTTGTTCCAATCTCCTCAGCAATACTCCGTTGAGTAGCTCCAGCTTGGAGCATATATAGCATTTCTTCTCTCGTTAAATGGCGCCGCTGCATGATGCACACAATAGGTTTAACTCCCAAAAAAAAAATATCCCAATATTACTGTAGGTAAACGAAACTTTCGGACTTCGCTACCATTATGCCGCGTAAATCTTTTGTTTTTATTTTTTTTTTCAAATTCAAATTTAGAATCGTCCAAAAAGGTTTACAAAATAGTCTTTTATCAAAAGATCTTAAAACTGGCCAGTATTTTTTGAGTTTAAGAACTTTATACAAAATATCCCTAGACATGATGAGCACGTTAAATGTAAAAAATACTTACCTAGATCTTATGTTACTTCTTTCCTCGAGATTGTTTGGAAAACGTATATTTTCTTATTTCTTTATGATCGAGTCATGCCGTGATTTCACTTATTCCTGCAGGCACTGTTTGTTGTGCCATTGAATAGCCACTGATGTCTCCTGGTGGTCGTTAATGCCCCTACTTTTAATCAAAACTGAATCTTGCAATTCAAAAGGGTTGGATTGAACCCTTACATAGCGCCGTTTTTGGCGATAATCTTTATTTCGAGTTTGTCTGACTCCAGGAATTCTAATAATTCGTCGTCGCACATCTAAAAGTACAATAATTTACTAAATTCAAATTCAAAATAATCTTTATTTCATAGGTAAGCATTATTTACACTTGAAATCGTCACCATGATTATACTCTACCGGACCGCTCATTCGTAAGGCAGATTCCCCTGAGAAGAATGAGCAAGAAACTCTAGGGGTTGCTCTTTGTAAATAACATACTGCCTCCGTGGCCGAACGGTTACCATGCCGGACTGCCACGCAGAGGTCCCAGGTTCGATTCCCGGGCCGGGAGAAATGTTTGTATGGCTTACATTTATTTCTCTCGTGAGTTTGGGTGTAATTGTGGTTGTCTATGTGTGTGTCCATGGCACCCGCGACACAGGGTTTCCCTAGTGCAGGGCTATGTTGAGTGTGTGCGTTATTTATTTATTATTTATTTATTTTATTTGTACACATTCAACATTTACAATATATATTTATTTTTATTTCAAACATCAGAGATCGAGACTACCTCCATGAGCTAAACGGGTTACTACCATGGACTTTTGTCATCCAAGTATGCAGAAGTTGTTTCATACGTTGTATAAACCTTTAGTAAGTTTTTGTTTCACTATAGTTTTAAACCTCGTGAAAGGCAAATTTTGTATATCAACCGGAATGTTCAAGAAGACGTCGGTTCGAATCCGACCGGATCGAAGGAATTTTTTCAGAGTGTTTTTTCTGAGTGTTCGATCTTTGTATTAATAATTATAACAAACTAGTGGAGTAATTTCACAAAAAATAATTGAATATCAATTCAATAAAAATTTAATTAATACAGTGAATAGCGACATCTCTCGCCAGGACTGGTAGCTGTAAAGGTACTAACTGGGTGATAAATCTGTAATAGATTTCTCATAGATGGCGCTACGACTAAAAAGTCGTTGAAAGACCAAGTACAAAGACACGACGCAAGCACATAGAAAAATTCGTGAGGTCCGTTGGTTCGTTCCGTGGCTTAGTTGGTATAGCGTCTGGCACGGTATGCAAGAAGACGTCGGTTCGAATCCGACCGGATCGAAGGAATTTTTTCTGAGTGTTTGTATTAATAATCTTTTGAAAGATCTTTGTATTAATAATTATAACAAACTAGTGGAGTAATTTCACAAAAAATGATAGAATATCAATTCAATAAAAATTTAATTAACCGGAATCTTGTTCTAGAAGCGTATACATTGCCCCTTAAATAATTTTTTGACTTTGTGAAGACGACTATCAAGAAAAGCTAGTTTATTTTTATTCCTCGTATTAATGTTATGTCTGTCACTATTTTTCATGAAGAAATTACTATTCCTTTTAACATAAGTTACATTTTCATAAATGTACTGTGATGCTAGTGTAAGAATGTTAATTTCTTTAAACTTATCTCTCAAAGATACTTTGTGGCCCAGATTGTAATTTACTAGCCCTAACTGCACGTTTCTGCAGGACAAAGATTCTATTGATATCGGCGGCATTACCCCAAAGCAAAATGTCGTATGTCATTAGACTGTGAAAGTAAACCAATCTAGCGGTTTCGACGTCTGAAACTTTTCTTATTTTTTTAATCGCGTACACTGCAGAGCCGAACCGTTTTGTTAACTAACTTATATGGGGACCCCATTGCAATTTAGCATCTAATGTTATACCTAGAAATACAACTGTGTCCACAAGATTCAATTTATCGTTTCTAACTACAATGTTTGTAACCGTCTCTATAAAATTGGGTAGTGTAAATTTCACACAATTTGTTTTTTTCTCATTAAGGAGTAGGTTATTAACAGCAAATCAATCAACTACTTTAGATATAGCATTGTTCACATCGTCGTAGGAACATTGGTGCCTTTTAACTTTAAATAATAAGGAAGTATGATCAGCAAACAATACTATCTCATGTTTTGTATTCTCCATACGGCTAGGTAAGTCATTAATATAAACTAAAAACAAAAATGGGCCTAGAATTGAACCTTGAGGGACACCCATGCTAATTGCAGACCCTGATGATCTCGTACCGTTAACATCGACCCTCTGTACCCTAACACGCAAATACGATTTAAGAAGGTCGAGATCACGTCCCGCCACACCATAATGGCTTTGTTTGCTGACCAGTGTACCATGGTGCACACAATCAAAAGCCTTGATGATTGATATGATTAATCAACTCGACACCAGCATCGGTTGTAGAGCGACCCCTCGACTCAAACTAGATTACGTATACTTGTTATTATTATGGTTAGTTACACAGTATATTATTTATCAACCACTTACAACACGTTTTAAATGATATACAATTGATAAATCCTCAAAATAAATGAAAAATTATTTGATAGAATGGCAAACGTCTCAATTTATGCTAGCAATGAGTAACTTTTTTTGAACCGAATTTTATGACATTACAGCGAACCAGCATCGTAACAACTAATGTCAAATAAGATATCAAATGAGATTTCAAAGGAGTTGCGGATCAATTTAGGATTTGGTTTGGCCTTGGCGTAAATGCTTTTGACATTGTGTTGCGTTTTTAGGACGTCATGGTACGAATAAGCGAAACGGACTTATTTAGATTCATAGATGAATCGCAAGAGGTCATGGTCTGAGGTCATTCTATATCCGAAACTGAACCCAAATCACTAAAAAAAATATTAAAAAAGATTCTAAGTTCTTTTTTTTTAAATTGCGGTAAACATCGATTTACAATTACCTGATCCAGCTTGATCCAAAGGTCATTGAATTGTACGGTAAGTCCTACCGAAATTTATAGCTCAGCCGGAGGAACCGAGAAAGTATTGCTATCTCTTTTTTTTCTCAAACGCAGCGCACGCGCCTGTAAGAGAGCACACTATTTAAAAATGAGATAGTCGAACTCGCTGCAATTCTAGTGATCAATAGATCACTAATAAGCTAGTCTCTCCCGAATTGCCACGTGGTTTGGTATGTAAAGAAGAACTGCTACCAGCTTCACCAGAACATGCATTACCATCAAGTGCAAGTGCGTGACTATTCTTATGGCATGACGTGAAACGTTTAGTTTACGCGGAGGAGATTACGAGCGTTGAAGAATTGTGGGCAAAAATAGTCTCTGCTTTCAAAATGGCGAAGCCAAATATGGAACGTTGAAAGGAAACTTACATACGAATCTCTGCATAATTGGTGGTGGCCGGTACGGAGCCAGTCTTCAAAGTGGAGCTAGGTACTTCTAGCAATACTTTCATATAACCAATAGTTGGTAAGCACCAAATCTAAGTTACAAAAAAACTTTTTTCTGGTAACTTTTCTCATTAATGTGAATAATTTGTAAGTGTAACAATAGTAGCACATAATCATAATGAAAAAAATAGGTAAATAAGTGATCGAGACAGATTACGTATCGTTTAGTGAAGTGGGTGGTGGGGCCACTGCTCTCGCGCAGTACGATTTAGAGACAATTTTGCAAAACGTTATTATATACATTATACAATCAACCAGAATATTAAATAGAATATCACACTGTTAATACAATAGTGTATTAACTCAAAAAGGGGACTTTGTCAAAATCGATGAAAAAGGAATTACTTCCTGCAAAAAAATCATTAAAATTTATATGTTGTAGTTTATTAAAAACACTTAAACAATTTCTCAAATATATTTAAAAATAAAATGAAAAAAATAATTTCATGTTTCTGAATAAGGATTTTGGCCAGAAATGGCTCACATATAGTGTATCTCATTTCGAGTTAATTAGATATCTTTTGATTGTTTCTTACAATATTCTAATGACGATTTTTTGGACGTGCAGAGAATCATATTTTACATTCAGCAATGATATAATATTAAATTTCACAAATTTTGAATACTTGGTACTTGGTGTAACGGGCTGGTGTCCGCAACTCGACGTCAAGGCGCCTATTATGCGTGAATAAATAAATAAATAAATTTTGAATAACAACACTTGTAATAGCAGTGCGATGTTTTTTTTAAATATTTTTAGATGATTTAGCATTATTTCTATTATTAATTTTTTAAATATGGCGAGAGTGCAAATCAACATACTGTATTTAGTTCTTTTAACCAATTTAAAAAAAAGGAGGAGGTGAGAACCTCGAGATTCGACAGTGTATTTTTTCTTTTTTTTATGTATGTTACGTGATAACTCCGGTATTTGTGAACCGATTTTCATGATTCTTTTTTTGTTGGAAAGAGGGCACCTCCATAGTGGTCTTATTTCATTTTAAAGAAAATCATCCACCTCTGAGGGTGGCTGTTCACGCATGAAGATTCATTTTTATAAATAGCGCCTAAATTTTACTCAAGGAGCAATTATTTTAGTGGTTGATTTTGCTATTCTCCAATTCAAGGCGTTTTTCTCTCTCAACGTACTTTGAGTAGTGAGAACCGATTTTTATTATCTCCTGTGTGAAGTCCTGTATAGGGGCGAACTAGGGGACATTTCAATAAAACTTGGCAAATAGACATAATTCCACATACCTACTTTTGAGGTCGGTTTTTTTAGTACTCTGTACTGAGATTATGTTAAACAAATTATACGCTCTGCCTGATCAGAAGCGCAAAAATCTTTGAGCAAAAGATGTTCTAACAGAAACTGAGGCAAAGACGGAGTAATGGCTTCTTTTCGATTCACAATATTATGGTTTTGGAGAGGTATTTTGAAGTGTTGATGAAGTGTAATAGATAATAAATAAAGCTGTCTAACCGTTAAGAAATTCAACTCCTTGCACAAATTTTTCGTCGCGAATAATTTAGGTTTAAAAAGGCAAATTTTTCATAACATCCTTTGAGCTCTTTCAAGTTTCAACAAACTTAAGGCATCTCATGTATAATGTATGCATTTGCATTTGCATACATTATATATGAGCTGTTAGCATCTGCTGCTACAAGCTATGGACAAAATACAAACACTGCAAATTATTTATTTATAAATTTTAATTTATTAAAAGCAGTTGTTAGTTAATTGTATTAAGCAGCTGTAAAAACAGTTATCATTTATTGGGTGTGTTGTTAAATCATGAATACTTTTAATTTAAACAACCACGGCATTAAATAAATAAGAAAACAGGGATAGCACTCTTAGCACCGCGATGGTCTGTAGAGAAATAAAAGAGTGTTTTTTGCAGGTAGCAGACATAAACAAAGCGTCAGAGCGCAGCGAAGTAGTCGTCCGCGAGATCACAGCGGAAATAAAGCAGCTGGACTGCGCTAAACACAATCTAACAGCAGCTATCACCACACTGAACCACTACCATATGCTAGTGGGAGGCGTGGATTCGTTGAGGGCTATGACGGCGGCCAGGCAGTATAAGGAGGTCGTGTTGCCCTTACAGGCTATCATGGAGGTGCGGCTCCACCGTTAAAGAACTGCTGAGCTATCTCATTTCGAATTTGGTCATGTTATCTTTGTGACGCTCCGTTTTGCAGGTGCTGCAACACTTCGAATGCTACAAAGACATAAAGGAGATCTCCTCTCTCCGCGACCAAGTGTGCCAGATCCGCACCGCGCTCGGCGCGCAGATCCTTAGCGACTTCAAGGAGTCCTTCGGCGGCAAGGGCGGGCCGCCCGTGCGCACGCTGGCCGACGCCTGCGCCGTGGTGGACGCGCTGGAGCCCAAGGTCAAGAAGGAGCTGCTGCATTGGTTCATCAACATGCAGTTGCAGGTTTGTGGGCACTTCGGCGTTACCTTGCCACTCCTGGTCACTTTTAAGCCCACATATTTCAAAATGTATCACTACGCCGTTCAGTGACACGGTAAAAACTGAAACCAATCATAAAACGTACTACTTAAATAATTAAAGTTTGTCTTTTTTGAAGACGGACTCAAATGACCGTTCATTACGGAAAAGTGTTCGCCCGCTGCGCCGGCGAGCAACTAGTGATTGCAGTCGATTCATATTCTATCGACTATCGACAACATGTCGGTCGCGTTCCATTTGAATTATCATCGGCCCATTAGTTTTTCAACCGCACAGGCACAGGTTAGAACTACGTCCTTTAAAAATACGTAGAGGAGATATATTTTAAAGTTTCTCGTTTTAATTCGATATAGACTTCGCTTCTTATTGGAACGTATATGAACATAAATGTATTTCGACACTAGTAGATCAACCGTCAAAAGAAGAACAAAGAAGGCCATCACGCCACTAGCGATCGTTTCAACGTCGTAACGTTCACAAGTCGGACATTCTGGGCAAAATTTGACTTGTTTCACGTACTTTGGACGAAACTGTCAACGACCGTCCTCAAAAAAGACAACCGGAGCCGACGTCTCGGTTCACCCGGTTAATCGGAGTCCTCGCGGACAGGAGTACGTGCTGCTGTTCAGCGCCGGCGAGGAGAGCGCGTGGCTGGCGCACGTGGAGCGCCGCTACGCCTGGCTCAAGAAGCACCTGCTGGCCTTCGAGGAGGCGCGCGCGCAGCTCTTCCCGCCGCACTGGCGCCTGTCCGAGCGGCTCGCCGAGCAGTTCTGCCAGGTGGGCGCGGGGCCGCGGGGGCGCGACGAAGCCGCGCGCGGCGGACAGGCGTCACGGCGTGCGTTGTTCGCAGCTGACCCGCGAGGCGCTCGGCCGGCTGATGGCGTCGCGCCGGAACGAAGTGGACGTCAAGCTCCTGCTGCACGCCATACAGAAGACGTACAACTTCGAGCTGCTGCTGCACAAGCGATTCGTCGGTGAGTCGAGGCGGGTCCGGGGAGAAAGCGTTCCGTCCCGCCTGAATGAATTGCGTTTTGCAGGCACGGACGTGGGAACCGACGCCGCCGGCCCGCGCGCTTCGGATTCGCAGAACGCTTTCGACTCCGACGCTAAAGAGGTACGCGCGAACGAACGAGACGAAACCGCGTCGGACTCGGCGGCGGCGACGCACTCCAGCGACGGTGACGTGTTTCAGTCGGCCGCGGACGCGGACCTCGCTCCGGGGGGCGGCGGCGGGGGCGCCGCGTCGCCGTGGGTGGGCCTCATCGGCGGCTGCTTCGAGCCGTACCTGTCGCTGTACATCAGCAGCCTGGACGCCAACCTGCGGTCGCTGATGGACCGGTTCGCGCAGGTGAGGCCCGGCGGGGCGGCGGGGCGGGGCGGGGCGGGCGGCGGAGGTGCAGCGGCGGCTGTTGCAGGACGCGCGCGCGGCGCCGGGCGCGGGCGGCGGCGCGGGCGCCGTCATGGCCAGCTGCGCCGACCTCTTCCTGTTCTACAAGAAGTGCCTGGTGCAGTGCGCGCGCCTCAGCACCGGCGAGCCCATGCTGGGTACGGCCCGCCCCGCGCGCCGCAGCCCCCCGCCCGCCGCGCCGCCACTGCCGTCCTTTGCCCGCAGAGCTGGCGGGCGTCTTCCAGAAGTACCTGCGCGAGTACGCCAGCGCCGTGCTGCAGAGCGCGCTGCCGCGCGGCGGGGGCCCGGGCGGCGCGGGGGCCCTGCCGCTCGCCTTGGCGGGGGCCTCGGTGCCCAGCCTGGTCACCAATCTCCACACGTTCCTGAGGGACGACCCGGCCGCCAGGTGAGTCGCGCGGGCGGCTTGTCGGCGCCCGAAGCGCGTCGCGTCGGAGCCTCGCGAGGCGCGCGCCTGCCGTTTGAGTTCTCCTTTCGCACTTTCGCAGATACACGAAACAAGAAATTGCAAAAATAACATCGGTAATAACTACGTCGGAGTATTGCCTCGAAACCACCGTGCACCTGGAGCAGAAACTCAAGGAGAAGGTCTCCCCGGGTCTCGCGGACCGCATCGACCTGCTCCCGGAGCAGGACTTGTTCCACAAAATGATCGGCACCTGCATCCAGCTGCTAGTGCAGGACCTGGAACTCGCCTGCGAGCCGGCTCTTCAAGCTATGACGAAAATATCTTGGCTCCATTTCGACAATGTCGGCGATCAAAGTTCTTATGTGACGCAAATCATTATGCACTTGAAGAACGCCGTACCCGATTTGAGAGACAACTTAGCGTCTTCTAGAAAATATTTTACCCAGTTTTGTATTCGTTTTGCGAATTCTTTTATTCCAAAATTTATACAGAACATTTACAAATGCAAACCTATTTCGACTGTCGGATCCGAGCAGCTATTGTTGGACACCCATATGTTGAAAACGGCGTTGCTAGAGCTGCCGTCTATCGGGTCAGAGGTGAAACGACCCGCGCCAGCGACGTATACGAAAGTTGTTATAAAATTAATGACGAAGGCCGAAATGATTTTGAAATTAGTTATGGCGCCTTTAGATGGAAATTTGGAAGGATTTGTGGCTCAATTTGTGCAGTTGTTGCCTGAATGTACCTTGGCCGAGTTTCATAAAGTGTTAGACATGAAAGGTGCGAAATTATCGAAGGCGCAGTTGAGTTCTTTAGATGCACTGTTTAAGGAAACGTCGAAGAATGTAAATAGCGATAATAATAAATAGTACTCAACGACATCTAAGCGACATCATAATTTTGCCCAAAATTGTGATTAAAATGTGACTAAGAACTTGACTGCTTGAAATAATATTATGGACGGCATCATGATCGAATGCCAGTAAAAAATTAATACCAAGGCGGAAATTATAAACTTTAATTTCCGTAACTTGTGAAAATAATATGTTAATATGACTACTTTCACTATTTTACTTGAAGTCATTCTTATGTCTATAAACTCAACTAATAAATGATATTGTATATATTATACATATTTCATCACAAAGAAAATACGCTGTTTACCTAATAAAAACATTCCACTATATGCAGTCTTTTCATCTTAAATATTAGGGGTTAAAGTATGAAATTGCCGTTTTATTGCAATAGGTT